TTGCAATGACTTCGAGTACACATATACGTTCTTGAAACGTATGTCATACTTTCCAGCAAACTTATCAACGCGTTTGTTTTGTTACAATTCGATGGATCACAGGTGATTTCGCATATAGAAATCGGCAGCATGTTTCCATGCTTACGTATTTCTTTTTCAGTCTGTACTTTATTGTCGATATTAGTCACTTTAATCATCTGCGATTGTCGCACGAATTTCATATCTTCTCTTTTCACTGATAATATTAAAAAAACAACATCGAGAGCGGATATATTTACAGTAGCGCGCAAAGCGAAACCGCTCAGTATTCAAAATCTTCTTATTTTGTAGTATCGGATAACTTTGATGTACATAGTTTAATCGAAGAATTGGAATATAAGGAAAATTATTTTGCTATGAGAGTTTAAGAATTACATAGATCAACTGGGACATATTACCCGAGCATATAAAGGCTGATTCAGCAACATCGTTGATGCTTGAAACATTATAATTTGCTCTGCCATCGATGCAATGATTCAGTACGATTCATAAGAAATTGTAGCAAATGTCAACAACAACGAAAGGTTGCGATTTTTTAAATCATGCGATAAACGTACTTCTGATCGAATTGCATATCTTCGAATATCAATTTTGTCCAGATGCACATTTAGAAAAGCGATTGACTAGAGGCGATCGAGGCATTAATCCGTTAGATGCGACGGATCGCGAACACGATATAACTTATTCACGAAGCAAAGATCTCATGAAACGACACGACAAGCTGACAAAATACTTGCTGAGGAGATGCGGAAACGGATTACCACGAAAGATTCGACTCTTGGAGAGAGAGAGCTGCAGCTATTTAGATGGCTATGAAAGCCGAAACGAAAATTGGATTTCTTGAAAACGAAGAAGAAAAGCTGATGAAAAAACGAATATTACTAGTGGCAAAACGCGGTGGTATCTTATCTATTCTACCGCTGTTGGGAATCTTCAGCTCGTTGGTCAGCGGCGCGGCAGGAGTCGCAAAAGTTATAAACGATAATAAAGCCGCGTAATGTTAGTTGGAAGAACTGAAACGTCATAATCGCGTCATGGAAGATCATGGAGTTTACCATACAAGCGTGGACGAGAAGTCACAACAGAAAAAATATTAAAAAAAAAAAAGTTAAACAGTTGTCAAAAATGCCAAAGGATGTAACTACCATCGTACAATTGCAACAACGTATATTCCACTGACAAAATGTATATTTCATATTTTAGAGATATTTTTATGCGTACTACTTTACCAACAAGGGGAGTGTATCGAAACGAAAGTATCGTAAATTTGGATAATGCTGATGGACAGGTACACATTGGGTGGCGTACGCGAAGCGGAAAAATCGTTGTTTACTTTGATAGTTTCAGCAATCTTCGACTCGAAAGAAATTGGTGCGATATTAGGACATAACGCAAATCACACACCTTATCAACGTTACAATCAAAGTAACTGTGGACAACTGTGGCTATAGTTTTTACCAACAATCAATTTAAAAATGCACTCTTTCAACTCAGTATTCATTCAAATATGTCACTGACATTTACGCTCATCGGTAAAAGTAGCGTTCTCGCGGTCTGCTACTTTCCGGCTGTAGATTTGAGCGATGGCGATGAACTCGGTCTGACGGACTTTGAAATCAACCATATGATGTCTAATGTAAATTCATTAAATAATAAGTTTTACTTTGACGAAGATGACAAAGAAATTGTCATTCCTGAAGGATTGTAAATACGAAATACGTGACATAAACAAGTATGTAAGATGCAATTCTACAATTTCATCCTAATGATGTTGTGAGAGAGAGAACGCTTCGCAAAGGGGATGAACAGTATCCATTGACTATTCATGCCAATAACAATACAATGAAGAGTAAGATCAAATGCTTATCGGGTAAATTTCACCAAATCTCATAATATTGGATCGCTGTTGGGATTTTCATCGAATTGCGTTCTGGAATCGCAACAGTAGCACGAACAGTAGCAGACGTATCGATAAATATCATCAATGTAAATATCATTTGTATTGAATGCAATGTGACCATGGCCGCATAAGCAACAATAAGTTCGTGCACGATACATGAATTTTCACCGAGTGTGTTACAAAAATATAAAATATCGGAAAGACCGACATAGATCATTTACTTTCCGTCATCGTATAGAGCGTTACAGATCTGACGGTTCGCATTGTGAATCAAAACGAACTCGATTTTCGTGGAGAAGAAATCATCGTTAGATTGCATGTACGGAGGCGACAGCGATAAAGTGATACGACAACGCTGAGATGTTTATTCTGAACGAACAGGCGAAACAGACTAGAGACATAATTTTTACTAGAGGGACAACGATCAAAAATATTCAATCGTTCAGTAGAAGGAAGTTTACTGTGTCAAACGTTAAATTTTTACAATCATTGTCACAATTGGACTTTATTGTACGAAATATCTGAGATGGTTGATATCTTGAATATTAGAAGTGAGCTGATCTTTGATCGTATTGTCAAGTTCGAATTTCACACGTACAATCCGTACGTCAATACTACGTTTGGACATAGCGATGAGATAAGAATACTCATATAACAGTAGGATTTATATACGCCGAGTGAAAATGTTCTCTACGTCGAAGGTAGATTGACGTCAAAGGAAAAAGATCAACAAAAACAGCCAACAATTAGAAATAATTGCGTAGCGTTCATGTTTGACAAAGTTCGATAAGAACTCACTCATTAATGGTGCAGAAATTAATAATAAAAATGTTGGAATAACCAATACTCTAAAGAGCTATGCATCGTTTTCAAGTGACAATACAATAAGTATGCATAATGTTGGACTTATTCCGTCTGATATATAATCCGATATATAATGCGAAAAGTTTAATGACATCTGACGGATATTTTAATTTTTACGAGCCGCTCAATATATTGTTGGCCTTTTGCGAAAATTACAAACGTGTGTAATTAACATTCGTCGAATTAATTTTGATACGAACGCGCAACGACAATTGCATTGTGAGAGATCCAGCGACTGAACCGACGTTTGAATTATACAAAACATAATGGTGAATGCCGCACGTTATGTTGAAGTCAATAAACTATCCATGCTATGTACTTTGGAAAACGAATGATATCTAAGTATGAATTTTGTTTGTGGGATTTGTATGAGTATCCCTTATTGCAAAACACGACAAAGCACTCGTGGGTTTCAAGACTGCGACTCAGCTGAAAAAAACCTAGACATATTCTCTTTGCTCTGCAAACTGCTAAAAAAAACATCATAGAAGCAACTTACTTTGATCATTGTAAATTAACCAACGTGATACTTTATCTAAACTCTGAATTTCATCCGTATGATCTGAATCTAGATTTTGACAAATACAAAACCGCTGTCTTATATGATTTATATGTATGTTTCCATATATCTTACTAAATTCTCTGAAAAAATCGTGAAACATTATTGAACATGAAAAACTTTCTTCACGGTTATACTCACGTTATCATTGACTGCTCGCGACAAATCCATCAAGAACGGTGCGATTAGAATTTGAATTCAACGAAAATGTATACCCTATAAAAATATCCTATAAATACCATAATACCTTATAAAAATACTATAGCCTATTTATATTGTCTCATCATAGACGCGTGATCGAATATAGTCCAATGTAGTACGCAAGATTACGTAAATTATCATTGCTGAAAGAAAAAATATCCTCCCTCTTTTTTCAATACAAGAGATAAGAACCAAGATTCTTTGCAATAGCACAGTCTCGAAAAGTCGTTCTCCATGAATATATCGTTTGTGGATCTGCAAGGATTTATAATTGAAAAGAAATTTATCGTAAAAAAAGTGACGGTGTTGAGAAAAGGAGCTATTCTCTTTCGTTACACTTTTACGTGTCCCACGCCATGAAATTTCTTGACAAAGTCAGAAAAGTATTGTGCTTCCTGGCTGAGTGCTTATCATCATGGATTGCAATGGGAAGACGAGATGATCCCGTATAGCATAGCGAAACACCTAATTACATGGCTGTAATTGATGCGAAAGAGAGTGACGACAATAAGGCTCTCATATACGTTAAAGAACGTGAATGACTGGATGATGTACTCGTTAGCGACAACTTGACCATTAAGACCTTGGATGCTGATTACGAAAATATAGATTCTTTACATAATCTAGATATTACTAATAGATGTTACTAATAGATGTTACTAATACTATGCGAAGTGTAAAACATGTTAAGAATTGTGTGTTACAAAATGTATTTAAAATATACAACTGGTGGGGGGGTCGTAACAAAAAAAATGTATGAAATTTAAAATAAAGCATGAAATTTTTAAAATATATTTTGATTTCTTTCCCCCTTTCCGTATAAGTTAAGAATTTGTTAATATTAGCTGTTCAATAGTACGATTCAATAAGTATTGGATTATGATTGATAATGATTGATAAAAAAGCGCTAAATCATTTTTGTACTACTAAAAAAAACTATTACTAAAAAAAATATTATCATAATTAGTGTTACTAAGTTATATTATTAAAATTCATAAAAATATTATCATAATTATTTATTAAGTCGTATCATTAAAAATTCATAAAATATTTATCATATCTATTTAATTAAATCACGTACAAGAAAGAAAGACAACGTGGGAGAGAGCGTAACGGGAGGAAAAGAGAACGCAAATAAATAAGGACTGCAAGTAGAAGAGAGAGAAACTGCATTCTATAATGGATAATATAATGGATCTATAATGGAATAGAAGAGAGAGAATAATAGGTTAAAGAGAGAACGCAACGAGTGAGAGAGAGAAGGAACGAACCCTTCTCCTCTACTATGGACTCCGGTGATGCGCTTCCCTCTCTCTGACTCCCTCACACGCACGCACGCACATCGTATACATATACGCACTAACATAGTGAGTTAGAATCAGTGTATATATCCTACGGAAGGAGTATAATCATTATTTCTTGTTACGCTGTACATACCTCATAGATAGGTAGACAGATCGAATCAATGAAACCAACTTGCATCATCGGTAATTGATCCTCTTTCTCTCGATTCATAATGTCCTACAATATGATACGCATGCATTCAAGAATATTTTGATTATGTACAAATTGCTACTAGAGGTGTGCAAATTAATTTGAATCGAATTTGAATCGAATCGAATGGAATCACAGTGGATTCAATTCGATCCGCTTTCGAATCTGAGAGATTCGAAACCGGATAAGTTCGAAATTTAAAATCACTTACCTATTTTGTGCTTCATTTAATCGACTCTCTCTCTCTCTCTCTCTCTCTCTCTCTCTC